GTTTGGGCTTTGCTTCTATAAAGATTGACAGCCAAGGAAACCCTGTGGGGCAGTTCCACTCTGTCCTCTAGGGGCGCTGTGAGTCAGAATGGACTCCACGGCAGTGGGTGTGGTTTGGGCTTTGTTTCTGTGAAGATTGACAGCCTTAGAAACCCTGTGGGGCAATTCCACTCTGTCCTCTAGGGGCGCTGTGAGTCAGAATCCACTCCACAGCAGTGGGTTTGCTTTGAGCTTTTATAGTCTTGAAGAAACTCCCTGGCAGTACAAATGGCTTGTATTCAACTACAAACCTAAAAAGGAACCCCCGTGGTGCTATGGTTAAAGGGCTCAGCTGCTAACCAAGAGGTTGGCAGTTTGAAACTACCCACTGGCTCCCAGGAAAAAAGACTTGGCCATATACCCCCATAAAAGTCTGCCTCTTAGGAAACCCTAGGGGGCAGTTCCACTCTCGGACCCGTGGCCACTACGAGCCATAACTGACTCAATGGCACATGACAACAGCCACAATATTCCTGGAATATGAAGAGGAAGGAACGGGAGGATCAGGGACTTTGGGGCTAGAAGGCTGAGCTGACCGTCCAAGTTGAACATGTGCAGAAAGAGAAGGCCCACAAGCTTAAGGAAGCGGGGTGCTGCCAAGTGCCTCCGGCAGCAGCCGGTGAGGTGGGGAAGGGCCCCTCCCCGGGTCTGCTCAGGGGGTCAGACAGCTGCTCATTCAATGCGTGGACCATCTCTCCAGTCCTGGTCCTTGCCATTTTGATTTTTATTCCATTTTAACCAAATACGGAGGAGTCACTCTAAGTCGGATCTGACTCGACAGCAGTGAGCTTTAGAGTTTTTTACTCACGGATCATCTTGAGATACAGACGGGAATGACTATTAGGAAACAGGATGCAGGAAGAAATACAGCTAACTGAAAAAGGAAGAAGACTCAGACTGAGAAGAGATGGTGTCCAGCCACGCTGGGTGATCAGGATCTTAGGAAAGCACTGGTGGATCAGCGGTTGAATTCTGGCTCTCCGTGCATGAGACCTGGGTTTGATTCCACCCAGTGCACCTCAGGCCCAGCCCCCACTTATCTGTCCGTTCAAACGTGTGTGTAGCGAGGATGCTGAAAGGATTTCAATGCAGCTTTTTGACTAAGACAGCCTAGGAAGAAAAGCCTGCTTTTCAACTACTGAAATCAGCCAACAAAGCACCATGGTTCACAACGACCTGACCCGCAATCCATGAGAGGATGGCGCCAGACCAGGGGCGTTTTGTTCCATGCGTGTGGGCCGCCATGAGTGGGCCAACTTGGCACCAACTGACACCACCTACCACTACCAGGAAAGAAGGCTGGCGTATCTGCAAGTCCTACGCGTCTCCTTGTCCAGCAAGCCCAGGAATGAAGGTGAAGAGAGGGCAGTGCCCAGCCCGCTCCAATCCCACAGCGGGACCATCACACGGAGAAGCCTGACCGGAAAATACAGGACGATTCTTCACCACAAAGAAGGACCGCAATGACAGGACAAACTGTCCTGCAAGAGAGGAGTCTGGGGGCAGAACCCGAAAGAGAAAGAGGCCTTAAGAGAAGGCCACTTGTGGAGAAGTCTGAGTCCTGAGGGACCACGGCACAGCTTCCAAGACGCTGATGTGGTTGCTAGGAGCCTAACGTGGAGGTCACAGGATGAACGGTGATGCACACATAGGACTGCACAGCCTGCACCGTGACGCAGAAGGAAAACCCACCCAGAGAAGCCGAGCTTGGCAACGTACGTAGCAGCTGTCCCCTGCAAACAGCTGGCAGGAGGAGCTCTGGACGGGGGGTGACGGATCATTCAGCGCTGGTGTCATGGTCCTGGGAGCCTGGTGTGGGCTGCTTTGAGTGACTCAGTGGGGTGGTCACAGGGGCATGGTCTTCTTCTACAAAGCTATCACTGACAAAGTATGGACAAGTAATGACATGGAGAAAAAACAACAACCAAAAAAAAAACCCAGAATTTGGCAAACTCGCCTTCCTGGTTAGTCAGATCCAACTGTGCAGATTAGTTTTGGGGCAGATTAGTTTTAGAGCCTCATCCAGCCTCAATGGCTCCAGAAAGTCTAGAGGCTACGAAAATTTTAAATTCTGTTCTGCATTCTTCCCCCTTTTGATCCAGATTTTTCTACAGAATCTTTGATCAAAACATTCAATGATGATACTCAGACCAAACCGTGCAAGTCAACGGAAAATGATGAAGGGGAGTTTCAGATTAACATCACCTCACCTCAGCCTAGTAGGGTGTAGGGGTTTTTTTTGGTGAATATCTGCACAGCCAAATACCATTTCACCAATTTCCACAAGACACGGCCACATTTTTCAAGTGGTGTAACCATTCTCACTGTCCTTCTTCAAAATATTCCACCATTGTTATCTTAAACTCTCTGCCCCTAAGCTCCCTGTGCAGCCTTCCGAGTTGCTGCTGTCAATGTGATCACACACAGGCAATTCTTTCAAAGAGCACAGTGTGCTAGCAGATGGACTGTACAAATTGTGGGAGTTCAGGTTCTGTGTCCACTTGGCTGGACAGCTGGATGTAGTATTCCCCATGAGGAGATGGTAATCAACTCCATGGTGGAATCTACTGTGAGCAGCTGAGTTTTAGGGATGTGGTCTGCTTCCTGTGTATAAGGAGAAGCCTTGAGGAACGGTCTCTAGCTTATGGCACGCTTGGACCCTACATGGAGCCGTGTCATTGTTCAGCAGCCTGCCATGCTCTGATGACCTTGTGACTTTCAACGGACTTGAAATGGCCTGTCATGTAATTTGGTAACATCAGGACTGTGTCTTTTTACCTGTCAACCTTGGGCTTGTCAGTCTCAGCAGCCAGCAGCTGTCTGAGTGAAGAAAAGCCTCCAGCTTCAGGGGGCCAGGAGCAGGAAGCAGAGCTGAAGCCCAAGGTTGAGGGGCTTTCACCCAGCCCCTAGAGCCTAGCACCGTGAACTCGGACTTTTAGCCTCCCAAACTGTAAGAGAATAAACTCCTGTTTGTTCAAGCCATCCCATTTGAGGTATGTTCCTGTAAGAGCGGTGCTAGGGAACCAAAACACTAATAAAACAAATTTTGGGGTCAGGGATTTCAGGAGATAGTATTGGTTTAAGGTTTAAAGATTATCTCAGGGCAATAATTTTAGGGGTTCATCCACCCTCAATGGTGACAGGAAGTCTGGAGTCCATGAGAATTTGAAATTCTGTTCTGTGTGCTTTCCCCCTTTTGATCAAGATTCTTGTACACACTCTGATCAAAATGTTCATGACGGTGGCCAGGCATCATCCGCTTCCAGCCTCATGGCAAAGGAGGCAGCTGTTCATGGAGACAATGGGCCACACATTTCATATTCACCTTCTGTCCCTGGCCCCCCTTCTGCCTCTGCTGCTCCAGGTGAGTGGCGACCATTACTGGCATGGTTGCTTGCATAGTAGCCACGTTTTTGAAAGTGAAATCTCAAGGGAACAGCAATTGAATATGGATCAGCAAACACTTAGTGCATATACGCTGCTGTGGAAAGCAGCCAAGACAGGGATCTGTGGATTGCTGGGGACCCTGTCCTAGTTCTGGGCAAGGCCTAGAGCAGAAGACATCTGGGAAAGGAGTGGAGGAAAGATGGCAACCGTGGGGAAAGCAGCAGGCTTCCCCTTCTGTCTGGAGCGCCCTCGGGGCCCAAATAGCTGAGAAGGGCAGGCTCTGTCTGGGACAGTGTGATAGTTGGAGCTGTGTGTCAACCTGGCTGGACCACAATCCTGTGGGGTTTAAGCAGTTGTGATGTGGTTATTCCCATGGTGGGATGAGATGAATATGTTTTGAGCAGCCAATCCGTTGAAAAGGTGTTTCCCTAGGGGTGTGGCCTGCTTCCAGTATATCTATGGACATCCTGGGAAAAGAGACACTCATCTGTGGATTGGGATCCTGTTGTGCTGCCTACAGCTGTCCGTGAGCGAACAATCCACCATTCGGCCTGGAGATCTTGGATTCGTCATTCGTTGAAGTCAACAGCTGT